TGCCTGCTGGGAGAGCAGGGGCAAGGGCAGCATGACCACCGGCAGGACCAACCCGGTGACGGGGAGAAGATGGGAGTGGGGGGAGGGCCGAACGGGTGGCCCCTCAGAGTGCTGGGAATGGCTCAAGCCCCTGAGGCTGCTGGGAAGGGCACCCACGGCCAGGGATGGAAACTTGAGCCCTGGAGGGGAGTGTCCTTCCAGGTGCTGAGGGCAGGGGAGGAGGAGTGGAGGCCACTGGAGGAGAGGAGGAGAAGGAACCGGTCAGCTGCTTCTGGGGGCCAGCGTGGGGAGGCCAGGTGGAGGGAGGGCAGGCATTTTTCAAAGCAGGAGAGACCCAGGTGAGGCGCTGGCACACAGCAGAGGGAGCCACCAAAGAGAGCCAGAAGGAAGCTCAAGACCAGGCTGGCAGAAGGTGGAATTCTCTTTCTCGTGCAAAAAGGTCAAGGCAGGCACCCTAGACCACTATGCCCATCACCATTCAGACCCAGGTCTGGCCATCTTGTTAGCTCTGCCACTCCCTGGTTAGTGGAAGGGGAGCTGATCCACTGGTAGGCCCCCTACCCGGGGTCCAGTGTTCAGAGGGTGAGTGGCAGTGCCCTTGGGATGAAGTCAGGAGGAATCACTGCCCCACCTACCCTGGCCTCTCCGGACACTTCCGTTGCTGGGTTCATGACCTGAGCTGTGAAGCAGACGATCACACACAGAGCGACTGCAACCCTGCCCACACCGCTCCCTCACACCTGTGCCAGGCTGCCCAGGGTCCTACAAGGCCACAAGGAAGGTGTCCCCCGGGGAAAAGTGCCACATGTGGCGTGGCTTAAGGCAACAGAAGTGTCTTCTCTCGCAGGTCTGGAGCTACCGAACGGAGTCAGTGTTTCAGATGCGACCCCAGCTTCATTCATTTTACATGTACAGTCTTTATAAACCCCAGTTTTAGTGGATCTGTACCATCCCGCTACACTCGGTGGGACTTGGGGTGTCTACAGGGTTGGAATGCAGGGTGACTACAGGGTCGCCATCCCTTTGAAGGCTCTAGGATATAGGTTCCCAAACTTATTTGACTTATCAGCCCTCTTTCCAAAAATCCTGAATATCAGCCAAGGCACCTAATTTTACCACAAAAACGGCATAAAAATATGCTGAAAAATGGCTGATACACAATTATATACAGTAAATACTTGCGTACCGTGGCCCATAATCCATGTTCAAGTGGTCCGTATCTGCTTTTGCTGCCCTCTTGGATTCTTCTAGCACGGCCCCTCCAGGGGGACCGCCCACTAGGGAAAACGCTGCTCTAGGGTCTTTCCTGGGCTCTTCCAGCTTCCTTCCGTCGCTGTGCAGCTCCTCTTCTGGATCACACCAGTCATATTGAACTTGGGTCTTCGTCTTACCTGACATCTGCAAAAGCCCAGTGTTCAAACCAGGCCACTGTCTCAGACGGGGTTCTCAAGAGAGGCAAAACCAGTGAGGCTTATATGCGCCTCTATAGAGAGAGGGAAGTTTGTGTCACGAAACTGACTCACATCGTTATAGAAGGGGGAGGGGAAAATGTTTTTAAATGTTTAGAAAGAACCGGGCAAGTTCCAAGTCTGTGGGTCAGCTGTCAGAGCGGAGGCTTTTTCAGACTAACAAAGCTGCAGTCTAATGAGCCCAAGATCAATGGGAAGACCGCAGGCTTGGGATTGCAGAGGTGAAAGAATCCCAAGTCAGCAAGTAAGACAGCAGGCCCCGATGACTCCAGGATCACCAGGCAATACAGCAGGAGGACCCGTGCATGGTCAGTGAGCCAGATGCAGGATCCAAATCCTGCAAAAAGGAAGCAAGCTTTCCCACAGCATCTCTTTATGTTAGAAGCAGACCACACCCTCATCATGGGAG